GGATTCAGGAGTCATGCCTTCTCTGTTACTATATCTGCATTGCAGAACAGAAACCACCCAGAGATCTGAATTTCCCTGTTCCTGTTGGCCTTTCATAAAGCTCCAAAACCCAGGCATTTGGGCCAGGAGATTAGGCAAGTTCTGTTGATGTGATTTTATGATTGGAAATTATTACAAATAGTCCTCATTTAATAATGGCAATTGGGACCAGGAATTCCATCACTAAGAATGCAGTTGAAAGGTGTAACGTCATGTGACTGCATTGAATTATGGCAATTCTGGCAGTCCCAATTGCCATCCAGACAGTACATGCAAGACAGCCAAAGACTACCATGAGTTGAAGAAATTCTACAATTACTAAATTTAAAATTTTGTATCCTTTTCAAATAAAGACACTAGATATTGTTGGCTCAACCTGGTCAATAAATACATGACACAGTTTTGTGTGTTGCTTATTTAACCAGTACCTCTTTGTCAGTTAGTAAAATATAGATGAAGCTCAAATCCCATAGTCACAGTATTGCAAGTTATACAAAGTTCTTGAGTTTGCAAAATTTCTGGTAACATTGTATATTTAGGAACTCACTGGAATGTAAGATATGACAGACAATAGACCATCTGACACATTGGAAAGGATAAGACATGTGGAATCCGCATTGAACTGCTTAAAGTTACAGGGAAAAGTAGTCAAAGAGCTAACAATTCTGACTCAGCAGAAAGGATCAAGACAGCATGGCCTGGAAATGAAAAAAATATAAGCGTATATACTTATACTGAGGGGAGATGCAAAAAAATGTATGTTAATAAACTGATGCACTATTTCTCAAGTTTTACTTAAGAGTTTTCACAGATTATCATCATGCATTGGAACAGATAGGTTTGATAAAAAGGCAGAGAGTTATACAATATAGATGATGGAAGCAGAAAAAACATGTAAGAAAGATATTTACCCTACTTTTATTGACTAGAACAATGCCTTTGGTCCCGGAGCTGATAAGTAGAATATAGAATATACTAGACCAGGGCTTTTCAACCTTTTCACCCATTTTACCACTTTTAGTATATGGCAATATCTGAGTACCACCAGTCGCCTAGCAAGGTGTCAAAAACTTGATGACCCCCCCCCCCCAAAAAGTGATAAAGTACAGGTAGTCCTCGACTTACAACAGTTCGCTTAGTGACTGTTTAAAGTTACAATGGCACTGAAAAAAGTGCCCCCCAAGGCACAGCCGAGCAAGACACCTGCCTGCCCGCCCGGCAGCACTCTCATTCCCCTCCCCCACTACCACTTTTCTAGGATGGTCGCGTACCACCTGCCAGGTGCCAATGTACCACAGGTGGTACCCATACCACAGGTTGAAAAGCCCTGTACTAGACAACCCATGACCTGTTGGGTTACTGTCCCAGAGAATTTCCTTACCAGATTCCTCAATGCTTCAACAATGGCAGAGATTCTAATGCATTGGAAAAGTTCTTAAAAATTCAGGGAGATATTCAGAGATGTATTTGCCTTGAAAATAGTCCATGTTGAACTATAGACTAACAGTAAAAAATCAGGAGTGACCACAGAAAATGTTTTATGACATATTTGTATTATGTCATAAAATGTTTTATGATAATTTTTATCTATAAATGTTTCACATCATTTGCCAAATCTCAATTCTGCAGGATTCATTGGCCCATTTGGGGTACCTTGGTTCAAAAATTGTTGCCCTATGATATACCATTTCGTCCAGTTAAAGGTCAGGACAACTAGGCTTTGGTAGTGTGTGTGTTTGTGTATGTGTGTGTGTGTGTGTATAAAAGTAAAAGGTGTAACAAAACGGTTGTTTTTCTGAGAAACAATTTATAATAAAGAAGCTACTATAAGATGTTTGAAGGAACAGAGCAATTCAAAATAAGAAGAATCTATACTGACTGCAAATACATTTTCATAAATTTGCACAGCATGTATTTTTTATAAGAAAGGTGGTATTGGAAGAGATGACAGCTGGAATCAAAATTGTGTCATGTGGACGATACTATTTTGTTACCTAAGAGTAAAGATGACTTAAAAGAAATCATTATGAAAACAAAAATGGATAGTGAAAATCCTGTGATGATACACATTGAAACAAAAATGGTGATGTTAACCAACTTGCTTAACAACTCACAGTTGACTACAGAGATGAAAGTGGCAGACAGTTCTGTTTTCTTGCATTCAAGAGCAACTAAAGACAAACAGTGTGAAAATTATCAAACAGGAAAGAAATTTTAGAGTAAGGTAATTACAAACTTAAACAAGATCATCAAGCTTAAGGCTATTACTATGACAACAAAGAAAACAGTTAAGCAATTATTTTTCCATTGGCAATTTATTTATAAATGTGATTTATAAATAATACCAAATCATGATGACTATGGCTCTCAAATAATGTACATATGGGAAACATAATGTATGGCTGTGAAAGCCAGTCACTGAGTTAGAGTGAGAAAACAATAACTTGAAAATATGGATTTGGATAGTTACTCATGGTCTAAAACAGGAGTAGGCAATCTTGGCTGTTTTATGACTCGTGGACTTCAACTCCCAGAATTCCTGAGCCAGCATGGCTGACTCAGGAATTCTGGGAGTTGAAGTCCACGAGTCATAAAACAGCAAGGTTGCCTACCCCTGGTCTAAAAGAACCCCCGTAAATTGTTTCTAGATGAAACAGACTGAGGCCTTCCTTGAGGTGAAGTAAAAACTCATATTTATGCATGTACTCTAGAATAAATTATGAAGGGAACTAGTATGCTTGGAAAGACATGAAAGAGATAGAGAAGACCACAAAGAAAGGGAATAGATGGGCTCTGGAATATCTCTGGAAGCATTTCAGATTATTGCTGGGGAAATGGTGGGAATGGTCCATAAAGTCACCCTAGTTTAGGTCCAAACTGATGGCACCTTACTATTATATGTTCCACTGTTTATGGGGAGAAGATTACAGATCGCCTTGACTTATGACCAGTTACCTAGTGACCAAAATTACAATGGACCTTCCCCCAAAAGCCATGTACAAGTTGGCTTCAAATTTATAGCCGCTGCCACCCCTCCCCCAGTCATTTGCTCTTACAATTTGATCACAAAGACACTGCAGACCCTCTTATCTCCCCCCATCCGGTCTCTGCAGGCCTTGGGCATCCTATGCTTTGCTTAACAAATATACTAGAGAGAGCAGGGGTGGAGGTTATTAAGTGAGACAATTATGTGGTCACCTTGCTTAATGACCATAATGACTTGTGACTGTAAAATAAAATTCCAGGTTCACCTGAGCTTTTTGGGACAAAATTATGCCTAAAGAGAACCAAGTGGTGTTTTTTGGAAGATGAGTCATTGAGAAAATAGAGACTGTAAACTAAATAAAACAATAGGCTAGTAAGTCCTGAAGGTATCAGATTACACATACTACCCACAGGATAAAGCAGTAATGACTGACCATATGTTTTTGAAAACATTAGAGAATCTGGTGTTTTCTAAACAAAATTCCAGTAATTATAGTTAGGCAAAAAAGAATGAAAAGAGAAATATGACATCAGGCCAAATAGTAGTTTTTTGTTTTTGCTGTTTTAAGATTCTAGGTACTTACAGCATTTATTAAAGGTTAATTCACAAAATTTATAAACTTTATAAACATAAGGTTTCTTGGTCACATCTAACTTAAAATGGGGGCCTTCAGGTTTTTCCCCCCATATCCATATTTTTGTACTACCTCAGGTTCTTTCAGGAAGAATCTGAAAGCTCACAAATTCATTTTTGGCAGTTTTGCAGATACTAATACAGATGTACTATTACAGGTGCCATAATATTTTCTTCACAGACCAGAATAACTAAGCTTGTTGGTTTGTTTTTTTTAATGAGCCCCATGCGGGTCTGCAATTCCTTCTGCTCTTATGTTCCATTTGTAACACAAAAATCCAGCAATTATAAAAAAAAAAACAGGACAGTGTAATAAAAGTTATTACTACAGCATTAAAACAAAGCCATTGAAATTACCAAAAGGAGAAGGATTGGAGGAAAGTGCCTTGGTTAAGCAATGCAAAAAAACCCAAACATACAATATCAGCATTTTTTTTAAAAAACGAATCTATGTTTCAGTTTCCACCGACGGGTGACAAAGAGAAGTCACAACTCATCAACTTTCACTATTACAGCCCAAACAGGACTTTGCACTGAAGCTGCTTTTCCTAGGCTTGAGGCTACAGGCTCCCGTGCCAAACAAGGACACATGCACAAGACTAGCTAGCTACCAAGCGGTTTAATACTCCTTTAGTCATCTGACAGCCCGCTTAGTTGCGATTGGGGAATCAAGTCCATGGGGAATTGGAAAAAAGGAGCTTTTTTTAATTTTTCCATTCTTCACGGCCCTGTGCGGGATTCAAAAAGATCTCAACACTGGAATCTTTTTTGAATCCCACGAATGGCCGGGGAAAAAAACCAACAAGGGGGAGCCCCCAGGGAGGAGAAAAAGAGGTTTTTAAGAAAAGGCTGGACAGCCACCTGTCTGGAATGGTATAGAGCAGGGGTAGGCAACCTTGGCTCTTTTATGACTCGTGGACTTCAACTCCCAGAATTCCTGAGCCAGCACAGCTGGCTCAGGAATTCTGGGAGTTGAAGTCCACGAGTCATAAAAGAGCCAAGGTTGCCTACCCCTGGTATAGACTGTATCCGGCTTGACTAGAAGACCTCCAAGGTCCCTTCCAGCTCGATTCTGATTGAAAAACCGAGACTCCCAGCGCTTGAGGACTCTCAAGGAGAGAGGCGGGATTCCCGAGCAATGCTCATATTATGCCTTGTTTTCAAGCCTTCCAGCCCTGCGAGAGCGAGCGGCAAAAGCCGAGCGGCCGCGGTCTCACTCAGAGCACCGCTGCGGGTGGGCCATGCCTGAACGCCTGTCACCGAATTGTCCCGGCATAGGATCCCACCAGATCCCCGGGCTCGCTCCCCCGCTTGCCCCTCCCTCCCCACAGCGACCCCTTACCTCGTTTTCCACCACCTCATGGTAGGCAGGGGGTGGGTCGAAGCCGCTGGTGCCGCTGCCGCCCCCACCGTTCACACCGCCGCTGCTGTCGCCGTCTCCTCCACCGCGCGAGCCGCCGCCGCCGCCGCTTTGCTGGGGGCCTCCCTGTCCGCTGGTCTCGCCGCCGCCGCCGCCGCCGCTGTCCATGGGCTCATAGTGCAGACCGGGCCGCTCGTTGGTGAGCAGCGCCACGGCCTCGTTGATGTCGTTCTTGGCCAAGCGGAGGGCCCTTCGGATGGCGGCTGCATCCGAAAACCCCATGCAAAGCAGCGTGGTCGTGTGTTGTTCTTCCTCGCTTTCCATGGCGTCTCTTTCGGCTCGGGTTCAAGCGCTACTCCCGGTCGCTTTACTGTTGCCGCCACCCGCTCTGCGCGCCGCCATGTTGAGGGGAACCTCCTTCTTTCCTCCTCCTCCCCCCCGCCCCGCTCCCTTTCACCGCCTTAGGGCCGGACAAGAGTAAGCGCCCACACCCACCCGGAAGCGGCGACGGAAGCCGGGATACTGGTCACGTGAGGAGGGAGACTGAGTTGCTGCCTGAACTTGAATGGAACGTAGCGAGAAGGGTGGGAAAGGAATCTCGTTGTCATGGAAACCGACGAGGCCGGCCTGGGATGGAATGCTACAAATAGCGATTTAGGTAGATTTATGAGTCTTGCGCTCCAAGGTGTTTAAAGGGAGAATAAGAAAGCCTTATTAAAAAGAGAAGATGGCTGCACGCACGCCGTTAATGCGACGGCTTCTCTAACGTCGGAGAAGTGGTTCATATTTACTGTTTCTTTTTCCTTTTTCCTTAAATATTAGCGTTTTGATGTTTGCAGCGTTCCTGGGGAAAGTTCTTTGAATCAGCGAATTGAATTGTCAGAAAATGGACTGCTATACCAAACTTACTTTGGAATAAATCCAAAGGACTCAGTATTTTGAGCGGAGAGTATAAGCAAGATTGCAGAGCTGGGGTGGTTTCAGAGTTGGGTAGCGCCACAATCGAATGAAAGAATAAATCATTAAAATAAAATTTGAAACTGAAATCAAAGGGATAACTTGAAAGGATTGGAACAAACTGTTCAATTTTCTTTCTGACATTCATTTACTAAATTTAAAGGCCATTTAACTCCCTGATGATTCTGACAGCTTGCACCACAAAAGTAAAAAAAAACATAATGGTGATTTTTGGTCTCTACTAGAATACTATTCCTAACATCCCTCTTTAGAGATAACAAAGTTGTATTTATTTAAGTATTTTTAGTACTGCTTCCTGGATCAGGATTTATATCTCAAAACAATATGCATATTCTTGAACATTGCCATAAACATCTTCTATAAAGCCTGATTAAAAAAGAGGTGTTACATTTGCCTTATGGGTGCTTAAGAGTATATCTGAGTAGCAGTAGTTACCAATATATTTCAGTAGCATTACTTTCTCAGCTGTGTGTAATATGTGAAGAACCAGGCACTCTACCAAACATCTTGATTCCTGCGTCAGTTACAATTTTTGGATCAAGTACCAGGTATTCCCATGTAAAACATGTGGCAGATTAAATATGTTAATGATAAACAAGAACTTCAATGCTTAGACTAACATTTTCTAATCAGTTTTCCTCCAGGTAAGTGGAGGACTGCAGGTTGACTGCAATTCTAATAACTCCAATCCCAAAGGTTGAGAAAAAGACTTAGGCTATCCCTTTTTGTGAAAAGCGCATATGGTAGTTCCCATAGGGGCTAAGGCAGGGGTGTCAAAACTGCCGGCCCACCGACCGGTTTCATCATACCAGAGCCACGCCCACCCCATTGCCGGCAATGGCAAAATAGTCCCGATACGTCACGTGATGCCACGAGTTTGACATATCTGGGCTAAGGCTACCTTACTGGGAATGCAAAAATCTGGATGACAACTAGATAACAGCAAAGAAGAACAACCACATAACACTTCCTGTTGCATCTAATGGCAATCCAAATTTTGGACCCCAAATATGGTAGTTCTGACAAAAACCATTTAGATCTAAAATGACAATAGACGACTCAAGAACTGCCACTATAACTAAACCTGATCTCTATTCCTATGTTGATAAATATCTATCCCCATTGGTTTCACTTTGATGTTAAGCAGTCTACCATTTTTTCTATAAATTCAAATGGGAGTTTGAGTGTTGATAATTATCCAGTGTTAATTAGTAGTTGCTTGAGAATAGGGAGCCACTACTGCCTTCTTCAGGGCAGATGACAATATCCACACACCCAAGTATGTATTCACACCACTGATTTAGCCTAACCACTTGTCACCTCCCAGGAGGCTTTCATAAAAAAAAAAAAGCAAGGATTTAGACTACATATAGTGATGTTATCAATAATGATTTTGAGATAGTTTTGTTTTAGTGCCTCAGAAATAATCAGCTCAAAGTCATCCTGGATAATATTACTAGCTATTAACTCAGTCATTTTGCCCATCTGTTTCCAACTCTGAGTGGGTCCAAGTGATACTATCCTTGGGATGCTGAGAATGTTTCTCACAGAAGTCCTCTGGATGTGTAAATGTCATAGGAAAAGAAAGCTGGAAAGACATAGCTACAATTTAAGGGGTACTCTCAAGTTCTGTGCTGCTACAAACTCATTTGAATTTGGTATATTATCTGATTACCTAGCAGCCAGGCCAGTTATCATCAAAATTGCACAAAATAATGCCTGTTTTTCCTTTTCATTATTGAAGCACTGCACCACATCGGAGAGGGCTATTTCCCATTGAACCAAATTCTCATACCTTCAGCCAACCTAGAAGGTCTTTTTAAAGGAATATTGTCTTGAGTTACTGGGATGAAATTAAGAAGAATTATGCTGATTACTTCCTTGGGTACCAACATACACAAAGCACAAGACTGCTTGATTTTATTTTATTTACTTTTGATGTGCAATGGGAAGAGGAGAAGCTTTGGTTATACCACTGGAGTGCAAACAATAGTATATGGAAATGCCATTTCAATTAATTCAAGTCTCTATGGCTTGGAAGTTTAGAATTAATTATCTCTTTTTTTTTTTTAGTCACGGTGGTTGTTTACATCTACGAGAAGCATCGGAGAAAGCATGCTGTTGCAAAATGAATGATGTAATTTCACTCACCTTTGCAGCTCTCAAAGGGATTCTTAATACAGGAGGAATGATGACTTGGTAGCTATGCAGCTTCATCCTGTTACAAAAATGCCATTCTTATTATGTTTATTATTGTTGATAATGCTGCTGTTATTTAATGATCAGGTGAATGCACACATGTACTGAAAATCAGAGATTAGGGAAATTGGCCTGTTGAAATGACCTGAACCCATAATTATTAGCCATTTTCAGATTAGAACATTACTGGTAAAATTGAATAGGCTATTCTGACATTGAAACACATTCTATAAGGTTGAAATAATCTAGCCTGGGATTGCAATATTTTGATCATAAAATGTTTTGCACATCTTTACTGGAAGCATGTTAGATTTAGAATTTATTTTATTTTTCTTCTTTTGCAGAAAAGAAACAAACGGGAAGGGATGCTTTGTAGTGCCAAGGCTTGTGAGTAGCCTGGGTGTGGCATTGACTGAATTGCAGTTTTATGAACCTGGTCAACTGGAGAAAAGAACTTAGTGGCTCATTGGATTTTCAGCATTCCATGATCAGCAAGAGAGAAGACAACTAGAAAGCTCAAGTTTAAAATGATTTGGAAAGACTGTGACAGCAGTGTCATGCTGAAATAACCAGAATCTGATGCATAAAAGCAATATACCTGGCCTGCAGCCAAATAACAGGGCTGTCTGTATTCGAATTTCAAAACCCATGGGGCATAAATGATTGAAAAATCTGGAAAATACACCAGAAGAAGAAGTGGCAATCTGTATTATTGCTGGATTGCTTTCCTGTTGTCAAGAAAACTACACGGACAGGCAGGGGACTCAACAGGAGGAAGATGTTCCGTTTTATTACATGGTAACTGTATCTTTTTATAAAAGTGTCATGTTTGTAATTTATAGTATTCATTTTCAAACTATGGGAGCATATATAGTGGAAGAATGTCCAGCAGTGGTTGTTTAGGAGCCTTTGCAAACATCCAGTTAAAATATATAAAGGTTCATGTATTAATATGACCAATTCTCCCAAGCATTTTTGGCTCATTGATCTGTTCTAATAGACCTAGTCCTTTGAAAATATGTAATTTTATTCAATCCAATTAGATGGTCACACCAATCCAATTTCTTGAAAAGGGCTGCTTAGCTGGTAAAATAGCACTAGAAAACATCAGTTCTGCAGGATAGATTGGGAAGTCTAATATAGACCTAAATATAAAAAGACATCCTGATGGAAATCTAACTACACTTACATAAATGTAATGGGCATAATAAAATATTTATTTGGGGTTATGTGTACATAAGGAAGAATGCCTATATCAGTGGTGGCGAAAACTATGGCACGCGTGCCAGAGGCGGCACTCAGAGCCCTCTCTGTGGGCACGCGCAACATGCCCTGGAGATGGCAACCATCCCTCTTCAACCAGCCGCCCACTAACTTGCCGAGGTCCCATATGGCCAGATGCATCCCAGCATGGCTGGTTTCACTCCCCCCTGTCCCATCCCTCCTGGCCTCGCATGCTCTCCTTTTCCCGGGCACGACCCACTGCATCTATGCTTCTCTGAACTGCTGGCGGTGGGCTGCGGAGCCCCAGAGTGCGCCGGTCGAGGGGCCGGCAGGCTGTGGCTGCTGACGGACACTGTTGGCCCCCATGTGCTCACTGGCCTCTGTGTGCGGGGGCCAATGGTGTCAGGCAGCAGCCGTCCCGGCCCCTGCCCTGCCTTGCCCTGCGGCAATGGCACCCCTGCCCTGCCTTGCCTTGCCTCACCCCGCAGGACGAGCCTCCTGTCCACTGCCCCACCTGCCAGAGACCCCCTGGATCTTCCCCAACCCTGCCCAGCCCCCACAGGCATCTCCATGAGCAACATCGAGGTGACCACGCCCACCTTGGCCACATCCACCCAGTCTGGCATGACCATAGCCACACCCACCCAGTGGGCCACGCACACCTGGCACCCGGCGATAAATAAGTGGGTTTGGGATTGCAGTTTGGGCACTCGGTCTCTAAAAGGTTCGCCATCACTGGCCTATATGCTCATTTAATTTTAGGCGTGTTTGGGGACATGCTGGCTGACCTTATATGGACTCAGAAACTAAATGGAGCGGGCATGCCAGTGCAGTTTGTTCAGTCCAGAAGTTGAAAAAGCATTAATTCCATACCACTGCCAAGAAAACCACATGGTGGCATCTATGAAGTCAGAAGGAGCAGA